GCTTTTAGCGCACCGTAATAGCTACAAGCGCATCGGATTGTTTTTTGGGGAGGAAAGAAATTTGCTGGTGGTCGACTTCAATTTCTCCCCCACCGCTAGCAACAGGCCACCGCCTAGCTGATGTGGTCGCTTGGGGTGGTATGGGCGCTCAGTGTTAAAAAAGGAAAGGAAACAAACAAACCTAATCTTTGTATGACAGGCATCATCATGCAAAATTCTAGGAAGGGTAAATACTACTGGTTCGTAAACCTAACCCATAATCCTCAGCTTTAATACTAACACTAAATTTGGGGGAAATTAGAGCAAAAAACCCTGACATAGGGCGAGGGGGGGGATGGAGCCCTACTTCTAGATTTCCGTCCTTTTCTACGATTCTAACTGTCACAAACTAATGTCACATGATTGCGCGTGGTAGGGCATCATCGGAAGCCAGAAATTCCTAAACCAGAGGCCTGGAACCTTTTTGACTCAGAGAGCCATATAATGTTGTTTCAGATTGCATGATTGGTCGAGATTAAATTAATTCTGCTACGCATCTCGGTGGTGACACGTCAATGGAAAGACCAAAATCACAAAATCTGAAATCTATAATTCCAATTTTATCTTAGGAGAGCCAGGTGCAATCATCAAAAGAGCCACACATGGCTCGCGAGCCAAACGTTCCCGACCTTTGGACTAAACAAACTGCCTTCACAAAGCCCGTAAGACGCACAGATAAATCCGATGACGAAGCCTGTGACTGAAATCACCACATCATCTGTCTGGTTATGTTGTCGTTGACCGAACAGCTTTCAATTGTTGAAAACGGGAACGAGGACAGCTACGTCGTCATCGGGTCTTTCGCGTGAATTCTCTTCGCAGGCCTTGTTACGCACATCAAACGGCTGCCTACTCCGTGTGACCAACCGCCGGCGTGAACCTACACTGTGGCGAGAAATTCGACATTCCGTTGACGTCGTCTTGCTCGGTAAATTTTATCTAGACTACGTGGCAATCGACTTCGGCGCGCGAGTGCACGCACACACTAAAGGGTTGGCTTATCTGCATAGTTAGCTTAGTACATGGGTGTGGCTTTTACCGATCCAGTCTGATTATCGGAGCGGCTATGGGTGT